AGAAACTGAAAAAAAAAACTGTCTTTAAGAAAGGGCTTATAAACAAGAACAATTGATTGATGAATGTATTGAGCAGCATAAAAAAAATTATTTGAAGAAATAAAAACAAAAGACCTTCACTGCCAGGCCATGTACACAGGATCAACTGATACTTATTCCCTTTGTATTCCATTGGTAAAGAGGAAGTTTCCATTCACACAGTTTCTTCTCAAGACCTGTTACATTGTGGAACAGACTCCTGAGGATGCTTCCCTGATCTTTTCTTCAAGATTGGTTTGCTGCACTTGCAGTATTTGAATTTTCATTTTATCCATAAAGGAATGAGACCTGGTATCTGTGGAGGCCACTTTAATATAAAAACTCAACACTGTGTTCCATGAACCTATCTGCTACTATTTCTGATTTCTGTCGTGATGTGTTGCCCTGCTGGAAATGGCCATCAGACGATAGGAGTACCTATGTCATAAATTAATATTATTAATAGTAAGGGTCTTAATACATGCAGAGAAAATATTCCTCATACCATTGCACTACCACCACCACCAGCCTCAACCATTGATACAAGACACTTTTATGTTGTTTACATCAAATTCTGGCTCTTTTATCTAAATGTTACAGCAGAATCCAAGAACCATTATATCAGGCAATGGGTTTCCAGTCTTCTATAGTTTCAGCCTCAGTTTCTTGTTCTTATCTAAATGGCAATGAATTGTTTCACCCCAAGCAAGGCAATAAAGCCACTAGGATACAAGAGGTTACTGAGTGTTAGAAAATATGAGAAAAAAAAAACAACTATTAAGGAGAGAGGACAATAAAAGAATAAGAATTAAGGAGACAAAAGGTAACGATTAACAACGAATTTAAATTTTTGAAGATCAAATTTGACTGGGAAGCAAGAAGCTGAAAGAGAGTTCCACAAGCAAGAAGTGTGAAAGAAATAAAAGAAACTGTTAGAATAGAACTTACATCTAGCCATTTCAAGTGCAAAATGATGAGACCTTGCCGCCAGATAGGTATTGCATTTAAATTCATAAAGCCCTGGTACCATAGACGAAAGTTCATCAGAACAATTACCACTAAAATATTTATATAAAATGCACAGGGAAGTTATATTGTAGTGGAGGGAAAAGGACTGAAACCGAGGTGCCACGCCAGGAGCAATAACATTGCAGATTTTTTGGATTTTATCAAGAATCTCTAAATATATCATTACAATCTTGACATCTTCAAGGACATTTTTAGGACTCCAGATTCAGACAGTGGGAGCAAGAGTAAAGAGACGTGACTGAGGAAAGGATAAAGAGAAGGGCGGAGAATTAGATCAAGGCATCAGATGTTGATTGACATTACATTTGAATATTTGGAGACTGTAACTGTCAGGGAAGCAAGAGGAAGGGAGTTCCACTGAGGGGAAGACATGAAGCTATTGGAGTAGAAGTGACGGCTACATTTAGCAATTTCGACAGTGAAAGGGTGGGATTGAGATACCAACCTAGTAACATGCTTAAATTCGTACAGTTTGGGAACCATTGAAAATAGCTCATTGGAACAGTTACCTTGAAAGTTCTTGTAGAAAAGACAGAGGGAAGAGATAGCATGTCTGTGAGAAAGTGACTGTAGGCGAGATGCCAGACCAGGACCAACCATATTGCATATCCATCTCTGGATTTTATCAAGGACCTTGAGATGAACAGCAGGGGCTCCAGACCATATATGGCAGCAGTATTCCATGCAAGGGCAAATGATTGATTTATAGATTTGAAGGATGAAGATACACACCAAACTATGTATAAATATGTACAAGTATCTGTCTATATTTCTGAGATGAGGTAATATGTACACTATTTACATTATTCAGAATATTGTCCTCATTTTTGTTGCTATATTTATTATATTTTGGCCATTGTATGTGTTGGGCGCACACACCTTCTTAGGAGAATGGACTGATCTCTCTACGATATAGGTCAGTGCTAGAGAGATCAGGGACGTTCGGTGGAGATCACGAGACCATTACACTTCCGTCTCTCGACCGGAAGATACCGTTGGACTGTAGACTCTTGCTAATTGTTATTACTAACCTGCGTTTGTTATTACTAATCACTCTGTTGTTAAATACCTCTTCAAATATACCAGTATTTTTCCCTACATCTGTGTTTGTCTTTATTTGAATACACAACACTGCCGTGGGAACACTTCCAACATCTCAACAGTATGCTCCGGCCTTCTTCAGGTGGTTGGAATGTCGAACTGAACCCTTTATTTCACTAGAACAGCAAAGCAGAGTGTGAGGAGAAACAAAAAGAAGGGACTTGTATATAATATGGAAACTCTTCTGTTTCTGGAGAAGTCATATTTAGGACTCCAGATTCAAACGACCACATTCATCTACTATGTCGCAGGCGAGGAGATATTCCATGAAGCCAGAGTTTCTTTCTTTATATATTAGATATATTTCCAAAGGGGTATGGCAGTATGGAATTGTAAACTGTAGCATTTGCTGAAGGAGTTAGATTTAGCCAAAGCCGAGGCCACTTGACACGTGCTAAAAAAGCAACCATTCAGTTTGGCTACAGTAAACAGACTGACTGACTGGCAACTCTTGTCAGTGACATCACTAAGTGGCTGTCATGTAACCCTTATGACTAACTCAATGAAAGGGAGACAACTGCCTTTTGTATCCATACACTTCCTTCTTTTTTGCCTTTGCAACAACCTCATTTAGTAATTCTCTACCTTGAGTGGCTCTTGAACTTTGTATTTAAGTTGTATGTGTCAAAAAGGATGGGTACAGTGGAGAGGAGTGAGCACAGCTTGGATTGAGTAATTGGAGAGGCGAGTTCAAATTCCATTCACATCCATTAACATACACTTACATGCTAATACCCTTGGGAAAGGTATGAATCCTCTTCTCCCCCCAGCTATGAGTAAATAGAAGGACAGACTGGGTTCTATAGCCTTGGTTAGCAACTGGTCTATTGCAGAAAGAAATGGCAACCTACTACGCAAAAAAATTGTCAGTCCTGTATCGAAAAAAACATGATTGCTTAAGCGTGTATTATGTATGGCACATAATTGACTGTGTCAAAAAGACAGTTATTCCTGTGACACCACTATTACTGTAAACTCTATTCACTCTTTCAGCAATATTTATTGTTTTAAAAAGTGATGATTAGAATTTTAATAAAATCCAAATATGAAAGACGATTGATACATTCTCTTTATTAGTGAGAATTAAACAAATATATTAAAAATTATTTATTAGATTTCTTACTGTCATGGGTCTTTACAGACACATTATAGAAGATTGCATCAATAGGTACATGGACACTGTCATGGGTCCTTACCTATAACTACAGAATGAACTCTTCCTAACACTATGTATACTACGCCTCTCAAGAGAGAGGGTCGAATTGAGTCGAGCCGATAGTAGTTCACTCCAAACCAGACTGACAGTCATACTAACACCTTCCACATCTTGTATTATTATTTTGTGTAATATACCTTCGTTATTTCTACTCTTGTGTTCGTGTTGTTCTTCCTTGGTCCTAACCTGGACCATAACACTTACAAGAATAATTTTATATTTTTACAATATAATAGAAATCTATGAAACAACTCTAATGGAATATTTATTTTTTACCATTTTATAAAGAAATAAATATGAAAAGAATTTTTTAGTCATAAATTTATAAAAAATGTCAGAACAAGAAAATTTAAATAAACATATAATTACAAATAATTTTAATTTTAATCATAGTATAATTATAATATAATTATAAATTTTGAAAAAATGCATTTTCTGGGCATTTCTTTCATTTGCACTCAGTGCACACCACATAAATTCGGTAAAATAGTTTTTATAGATATTTATAAAATAGTAAATAGTAAATATTGTATATCTTAGATATTTTGTGATTTTTTAGATTTTCAAATAAGAAATTTTGTTTTCAAATTTATTTCTTTATAAAAGGTAAATAATAAATATCACATTGTACTTGGTTAACCTATTTTTATAACTTGAAAATAAGTGTTGATGAGGGAGTCAAGAGTGTATACAGTAATAGATACACCATTCTTTTACAAGCATAAAGGCATTACCATCCTCTAATGACAAATTCATACCCTGTCCACTGTAACTTTTTCTCATCTTCCTCTTCTTCTTCTCGTCTTCGTCTTCTTCTCCTCTTCTTCTTCTTCCTCTTCTTCGTCTTCTTCTTCCTCTTCTTCTTCTCCTTCTCCTCTTCTTCCCCTCCCCCACCTCCTCTTCTACTCCTCTTCACAAAACTCAAAAGTCAAGATGCTGGATACTATATAGACAAGTGACAAATTTTATATTTGTGCTAATCCTAAAAAGGTAAATAATAAATATCACATTGTACTTGTTTCAGAAATTTTTATAACTTGTAAATAAGTGTTGATGAGGGAGTCAAGAGTGTATACAGTAATAGATACACCATTCTTTTACAAGCATAAAGGCATTACCATCCTCTAATGACAAATCCATACCTTGTCCACTGTAACTTTTTCTCATCTTCGTCTTCTTCTCCTCCTCTTCGTCTACTTCTCCTCTTCTTCTTCTTCCTCTTCTTCTTCTCCTCCTCTTCTTCCCCCCCCCTCTTCTACTCCTCTTCACAAAACTCAAGAGTCAAGATGCTGGATAATATATAGACAAGTGACAAATTTTATATTTGTGTTAATCCTAAAAAGGTAAATAATAAATATCACATTGTACTTGTTTCACATATTTTTTATAATTTGTTGATGAGGGTGTCGAAAGTGTATACAGTAATAGCAGTGACAAGGAAAAAAATGTCCTTTTGACACAACTGCTGTTTTTTTGGACATAGTGGTTAAACGTTGTTGTGCATAGAAAAAGATGCAAAATATGAAGATTGATTTGATTTTTACAGCTTATCAACCCTTTGCAGGTTATTTAAAGCCAGAAAATATTTTTTAGATGGGAGATAATAATGATAGGTAGTATACCAGCTAGAAATATATTAAGATAGATAGATAGATAGATAGATAGATAGATAGATAGATAGATAGATAGATAGATAGATAGGAAAAGACTGAGATAGATATGAAAATACTGAGAAAGATAGATATGAAAATACTGAGATAGATAGATATGAACATAAATAAAGGGATAGATATGAACATAAATAAAGAGATAGATATAAAGAAACTGAGATATATATATATATATATATATATATATATATACAGAATTAGATAGATATAAACAAAGATAGATATAAACAGACTATGATAAATAGATATATACAGACTGAGATAGATATAAACAGATAGATATAAACAGACTGAGATAGATAAATATAAACAGTGATAGATCTTAGAGACTGAGATGTATATATAGATAGATATAAAGAGACTGTGAAAGATATAAACAGTGATAGATATAAAGAGACTGAGACAAACATATAGATAGATATAAACAGACTGAGAGATAGACATAAAAAGACTGAGATTGATAGATATAAACAGTGATAGATAGATATAAAGAGACTGAGACAAATAGATAGATAGATATATATATATATAAACAGACTGAGATAGATAGATATGAATAGACTTAGATACATAGATAGATAGAAACAGAGAGATATAAACAGACTGAGATAAATAGATATAAACAGTAATAGGTAGATATAAAGAGGCCGAGACAGGCAGATATAAAGATATAAACACATTAACATAGATATAAACAGACTGAGATAGATAGATATAAAAAGACTGACATAGATATAAACAGACTATGATAGATATAAACAGACTATGATAAATATAAACAAATACATAAATATGAACAGTGATAGATAGATATAAAGAGACTAGGAGAGATGTGAAGAAAGATTCAGATATGAACTGATTCAGATAGAGAGGTATAATGTTGAAAAGACTGAGCCAGATTCCTAATAACTAATGTATATATGAAGTGACTGAATAGTTCAATACCAATCACGAGACTGAAACAGATCATCAAAATCCGATGAGTTGATAGATATGAACTGAAATCAATAGGTAGTCAGATAAATTGATAATAAAATGATAAATATGCTTAGAGGACAGATCGAAGAATAGGTCAATGAAATTGTGATCCGAAGCATGGCATATGTCTCATCTCTGTGACTGAATTCTTGCTCTGCACAAAATCAAAGATTCTAAAATGTTAATCATAAAACATTTTATTTTCATCTCTGAAGGCAAAAAGGTCAAGCCAAGGAATTTCAACTTTGGTAAATGTGGGACTGATAGAAATGGAAGAGAAAGAAGATTGAAGGAAAGAAAGGAGGACCTAGGAATAGAAACGTTCGCCCTGGTCACACTCCTCCATGATCTTTTGAACAGTAGAAAATTATCCTTTATTTCTATCTTAGGATTGAATTTCCAGTTCTTTCTAAAGTCTTATTGTTTTTCACTCCCAATAGCCACTTGCATCCCAGTGACATTATCACCTTGTTTGCGATGAATTGATTTAAAATATATATATATATATATATATATATATAAAATAGGCAGCATATATTTTATATTACAAAGAGTTAATCATACCTTGAATCAATTAGCAATATTAATGCAATTATTGATGATATCCAATCGCTAGTAGACATAATTATAAGCATTATACTACTAATTTTTTTAACTCTTTGTAATATATATATATATATATATATATATATGAGGTGGTGTAATAGTTAGCAAGCTTGTGTCACTAAAACAATTACGAATGTGTAGTGAGTTTGATCCTCACTGGGTGCCCCTTACTTTTGGCCTTGTGTCACATCTAAGCTATGCTTAGAAAATCACTATATATATATATATATATATATATATATATAGACAGAGAGAGAGAGGGAGAGGGAGAGAGAGAGAGAGACCTAAGTTTGAATTCCAATTGAATCCATTACATTCACTTATGTGCTAATACCCTTGGGAAAGGTATAAATCCTCTTCTTCTACCCCCAGCTATGGGTAAATAGAAGGACAGACTGGGTTCTATAGCCTTGGATGGCAACTTGTCTAGGAGAAGGACAACTCTGAATTCAAAACCTGTGGAGAGTTGTTTGGGGGACCTTGTGGCACGTAGTGCACCATGTCTCTGTATTTGGCCCTTCAAAAAGTGTGGATTGTTCTGAACAAAGCCTTCACCACTATAATCAAATCATATGAGACATACTGTTTCACTGTATCACAGGTCATCAGTGTAGCTAGATATCTGATTGCTTCAAGCTGGGATCAAAACTCAACCTAGGTTATCACTGCACAGCAGAGAAAGGGAATTATATACATGCTATATAAATGCCATACCAGCTGCCATAGTACTCAATTCTTACAAAGAGTGATACAATAAAACAGCAGCAGCCATTAAAAATTCCCTTTTCTCTATAGTGCTCAATCAGGGAATGAGAGTATATATATATATATATATATATATATATATGAAGAAATATAGTTTTAAGGTGTGCTATATTTATGGGATAAAGTGCTCAATGTCAGGGATAGAGTATATTTAAATATAAATATAAAAATGAACATTGAAGTCAACACTCAGAGGTGAAAGGCTGATTCATGCTAGACGCAATCATCAGGCCACCCTGACAATTACGTCTAGCATATATATATATATATATATATATATTTGGTTGGATTGATGTGAGTTTGTGACCCTGGGTTTCACGCTCTTGTGATCGTCAGACAAACTGATTAATTTTTTTAAATTTTGGGTTTATGTAGATTGCGTGTATTGGTGTTATTGTGGAAGTAGTGGGGGAAATTTCGTCGCTTATATCATCGTACTAACGCAAACATTGATGTATGTTCATACGCCCAATGAAGTACGCAGACACACATACACACTTGGTCGTCCGTCGGCACATACATATATAAACATATGTGTACAGTTTCGGATTTGACATATGTATGTATACAGGTGGTGTTGTGTCTATACATACGCATTTCACGATGACATCAATGACATTTCCCCCCCCACTTTTCACACACACACACATATATATATATATATATATATATATATAGTAATTGTGTATTTGGGCAGCAATCCCTCTTTTATACAAGTTTCATTAAAAAAAACTCACAAGGTACTCTGGTTAAGATTTTTATTTAGTTTTTCTTGTATTTTTATAATTTGATAGGAAGACACCCCCAACCTAGAAAATAGACATTAATGGCCTTAATCCCCAAATCACAAAGTTTTGTTATTCATTCTAGCAGGAAGACACCAACCAAGAAAATAGACATTAATGGCTTTAGTATAAAAATCACAGTTTTGTCATTCACTCAGACTTGAAGATACCAACTTAGAAAATAGAAATTAATGGCCCTAATCCAAAAACCACACAGTTTTGTCATACATTCTGACTGGAAGACGCCAACCTAGAAAATAGACATTTATGGCTTATGGCTTTAATCCAAAAATCACAGTTTTGTTATTCACTATGTCTTGAAGATACCAACTTAGAAAATAGAAATTAATGGCCTTAATCCAAAAATCACACAGTTTTGTCATACATTCTGACTGGAAGACGCCAACCTAGAAAATAGACATTTATGGCTTATGGCTTTAATCCAAAAATCACAGTTTTGTTATTCACTATGTCTTGAAGATACCAACTTAGAAAATAGAAATTAATGGCCCTAATCCAAAAACCACACAGTTTTGTCATACATTCTGACTGGAAGACGCCAACCTAGAAAATAGACATTTATGGCTTATGGCTTTAATCCAAAAATCACAGTTTTGTTATTCACTATGTCTTGAAGATACCAACTTAGAAAATAGAAATTAATGGCCTTAATCCAAAAATCACACAGTTTTGTCATTTGTTCTGAATGTAAGACGCCAGCCTAGAAAATAGGCATTAATGGCTTTAATCCCAAAATCACACAGTTTTGTTATTCACTCTGGCAGAAAGATGCCAACCTAGGAAATAGACATTAACGGCTTTAATCCCAAAATCCCACAGTTTTGTCATTCATTCTGATGGAAGATGTGAGCCTAGCATGTATTCAAATGACAGAGTTATGAATAAAGTTTTTCAAATATTATGAAATCTAAAGTGTATCATACATCTTATCAATTTCTGTTCTGTGCAAATTCAAAAATTCTGAAATGCTAATTGTAAAATATTTGATTTTCGTGTCTGAAGACCAAAAGACTTGACTAAAGAATTTCAACTTTGGTAAATGTTGGAATGAAAATGCCTAAAAAATAGAGAGGAAATTGAGAGAAAGAAATGAAGAAAGAAAGTCCTAAAATGTTTGTGAACTTTGAAATTTGCATTCATAACAAATTTAGTACAAGCGATAAGGAAATTGAACACAGAACAGTCTGCACCTGAGGTAGTTTTGTCCTACACCGCAAACTGCTACTAAACCAAAACTATAACCTGTAAACTCATGTTCTTAAATAGCCTTGTCTGATCGAGACTTTCATATGGATATCACACATTGTGCCAACCCGTTCAGAAATATCTAAACTGTCACCTGTGTACAACTGCTTTCCAAGAGCAATGATTGAAAATGGCTTTGGGTGAGTGAAGCCTATAGGTTCTGGCAAAGACCATCCATCTTTGAACATTGTGGTTTCACACTACAGAATCAAAAACAAAGAACTGTATGAAATAACAGAAGCCACATCAGTTTAGCTAAAATGGATATCATATGTAACTGAAAGAGAAAATAATGAAATAATCAAAATGTTGACGTTCCCCACTACTTAAAACAAAAGGTTAGGAAGGAAACCTCCATCAATACAGGAAAGAGTGATAACAGCTACTGGACTTGAGAAACTTATTTTCCTGAAAAATTGCTTTAAGAAAAAGATTTTATAAATTTCAACTAAAATAGCCTTGGCTGCTTAGTTAATAAATGCTGAATGTTTCCTTATAAGGAAACAGCTAATATTACTATTACTGTTCTGTCTTAGAGTCTGTCTATATTTCTGAGATGAGGTATTATGTACATTTATTGACACTATTCGGACTATTGTCCTCATCTTTGTCGCCATATTTATCACAACATTTTGGCCGTTGTACGCTGCGGCCTTCTTCAGGTGGTTGGAATTTCGAACTGAACCCTTTATTTCGCTCACTAGGCCACAAAAATCTCCTGAGCCAACCAAGCATAGAAATAAATACAATATGGGAACCAGTAATAAGGAGTGCCAGAGAAAAGCAATGATAACAGCAAAATTGCAATATGAGCACTGGTAAAAATGGTTGCTGAAGACATTAGGTTTATAATACCCAGAAATTCATACCCAGATTTCCTCAAGAACACATGGCACAGTGGATAAAGGTGTTGGTTAGATCCAGTGACAGGACCCAAAGAGTGTGAGTTCAATACCTACAGTGTGGAGAACTTTCAGAGGGAAATTAACAGGAGATAACTGACATCCATTAAACATGGCACGTGGAACTAGAACAGTCTACCTCAGTGAGCGAAATAAAGGGTTCAGTTCGAAATTCAAACCACCTGAAGAAGGCTGGAGTGTACAACGGCCGAAATGTTGTGATGAATATGGTGACAAAGATGAGGACAATAGTCCGAATAGTGTAAATAATGTTCTGTCCTAGCTTTACCAAGAAAAGATTTGGATTAAATTTATTTTTGTAAATGTTTAGGCCACTCTACCTTATATACTATAATAATGATGATATTGGTCTGATTCAATCAATGTCTAACAGTAACGTTAGACATTGATTGAATCAGACCAATATCATCATTATTATAGTATTTATTACAATTCAGATGCTCTACCATTTAGCCTTTCTCTTGAGAACTGGTTTACTAAATACAATACTTCCTTGATTATCTTAATGCTATCTACTTAGTAACATTATCAGTCCATTTTTTAACCATATTCTTCTTACTTTGATTAAAATGGCACCTTGTAGGATAAAAAAAAGTAGCACTCCTTGCTTCATCAATGAATGCCGAAAGTTGGCATATAAGAAAATA